ATGTCCTACCTCTGGCCATCAGTTCCTGGCACTGTCTTCTTTCTAGCAGAGAGAGGAACATCTCAGGTCAGGAAGGAAAAGAAAGTCCTCCCTCTAAGGCCTTACTCAGGACCTTCCTCCCTGCCTCCCATACCTACATTGTGCCAGCACACCCAAATGTACAGACATACACACCTCATCATGCACATACCTGTAGGAGGTGAGGTAGCGGGTGGGTAAACCGCTGACCTGCTGTCTTCTTTCTAGCAGAGAGAGGAACATCTCAGGTCAGGAAGGAAAAGAAAGTCCTCCCTCTAAGGCCTTACTCAGGACCTTCCTCCCTGCCTCCCATACCTACATTGTGCCAGCACACCCAAATGTACAGACATACACACCTCATCATGCACATACCTGTAGGAGGTGAGGTAGCGGGTGGGTAAACCGCTGACCTGGCTGGGACTCCAAGTGCAGGAGAAGTTCTCATAGTCGGCTGCTCGGCAAGAGACAAGAGGGCGGGCTGGGGGGTCTAGAGAAAGAGGGTACAGCTGGAGACTAAGAAGTCCTTAGTCCTACCATTCCAGAGACTTATTTAGGACCTTGATTCCCTCAGGAGCCCCATGTCTCATCACTGCCACCCAATACTCCCTCCCCAACTCACAGCCCAGCTGCAGGGTCACCATGCCCCCAAGTGCACCATCCAGGGTCCGGCAGATGTAGGTACCCTCGTCAGTGCTGTCTGCCTGGGTTAGGACCAGTTCTTGCCCTAGCCCAGAGTCAGGTCCCTGGAGCAGGCTTGTCTCGTGGTCCCGAAACCAAGACACTGGGGCCCTGAGGGTGAAAAGAGGTGATGATAGACAGAGGGAAGATTTAAAGTGTGTGTCAGACCATGCCGCAGCTCTCCATTGGCTTCTCACTGTCTTGCAATAAAACCCAAATTCCTTTTGCTGGCTCACAAAGCCCTTGGTGATCTAACCTTTGCCTTCCTTTCCTTCTTCAGCTCCTCCGTCTCTCCCCCTCACCTACTGCACTCTGGTCCTGTCCTATACCATCAGTCTTCTTTCTGTTCAAGTATGATGAGCTCATTCCCACCTCAGGGCATTTGCACTAGCTGTGCTTTCTGTCAAGAATGCTTTAGCCCAACCTGTTTGACTGCCTCCTTCCTGACCTTCACAATCAGCTTCAATGTCACTTCCTCAGAGAGGCCTTCCCTGATTACCTCGGTTATCCTCTTCCCCATCACTCTCTTTTGATTTTCTGCCCTGCAAGTATAACTACCTGGCAAGATTCTTATTTGTTTATTGTTTGTCTGCCCCACTAAGCTCTGTGAGGGCTGACATCTTGCCTGGCTTGTACACTGCTATATCCCAGGACCTAGAATAGAACAAGCACTTAGCAGGTGCTAAATACATGTTAGTTGAAATTTTCTGATGAATAAGGATGGTTTGAGGGTTTTGACAGAGGAGTGAAGATTACAGACACAGGGGGCAAGGAGGGAAGGGGCATGAGGACTGGGCAGAGTCAAGAAAGGGTCATGAGTGTCAGCCCAACAGGCAGGTGGGGCACTTAGCACTTACCCAGCAGTCACTCCTGGGCAACACAGCGTCATGGACCTTCCAGGCTGCCCATACTGAACTCCTGTGGAGGGCACTTCTGAGGAGAGGCTCTTCCTTTCCCACTCCCCAACCCCCCACTTTGTGAGAGTAACAGGGTAAGGAGCAGACTTTTAAGCCCTGGGTGGGGTCACTGGGTCAGAGCATCATGTTATAATGTAGACAGAAATCAGAGAACAGGGTCGAGAGGGGATGTTGCCAGGTTGGATCCCAGTGGTTGGGAGTTACATGTTAGGTATGGGAAGGGTTCACAGTGAGAGTGGCAAGTCACAAGTCAGAGTCGGTGTCATAGAAGAGGGTTCTTCTCACCTGGGGAGCCCCAGGTCTCGGGGCAGGAGGAGGAGGCAGATGCCAGGGCTGTAGCCACGGCCACCAGGACCCTGCTCAGCCCTGAGCAGCTGCTGCTCATCTATGGGGAGAGAGGTAGTGTCAGCGATCCCCCATGCCCAAGATGGGAGGCTAAAGTCTGCCTCCTCCTCTTCCAAGTTAGGGCTTTCTAGGAGGAAAACTGAGGTACCAAGTGGGGTAAGGATATCAGAAATCACTGGGGGATCTGATTTAAGGTCCCCCCTTTCCATTATACACACAGTGCTGTGCGCACGCGCACACATTTACACAAACACCCTCACACCCTCCATCTCAGTCCTGGGCTTAGGGCCCAGAACAAAAGCTGGAGGCAACAGACTGTGCCAGCACTGCCCTCCCCACACACAACCCTTGGCGCCCACCCCTGGCACCAAGTGCTGGCACCAGCTTGGTTACTCCCATTAACTCCTCTTATCCAACTGTTGGGAATCCCAGTGTCCACCTGGCCCAAGGCTAGTCATTGCCTCTGACTAACCTGAGGCAGCCCTCATCACCCTAAGGCTATCATGGTGGGTCTGAGCCCATCCTGTACTCCTGCCATGGGGCCTAGCCCTGCTCTGGCTGCCAAACCTCTTCTCGCCTGGGCCTGGCTCCTTGCTCTGGCTCCTTGGGATACTCATCTGGGCCGACTCTGGAGTCTTCTTGGTCTCGAGCCTATGAGGCTGGATAGGGCTAGGGTGCAGGCTAAGGCTGCGCAGTTAAACAGATCCAGATGCCCTGGCTGCTGCCAGAGGCTAGGGGTGGGCAAGGAGCCAGCAGATGGAGACAGGGTGGCGGGAGAGGAGGCTGAGAGGAGCTGGGAGCCTGCAGGGACAGGGGCCTGGGGTGGGGGCCACAGGGCCGGGAGATGCTCAGAGATCAGAACTTGGAGGCAGTGGGAGACTAGCGAGGTGAGGGCTGGTGTGGGGCAGCAGAAAACAGGAATTCAAGGCCAAGGAAGTAACGAAGTGTGTGTGTGTGTGTGTGTGTGTGTGCGTGTGTGTCTGTGTGTGTGTCTGTGTCTGTGTCTGTGTCTGTGTGTACGGGGGTTGGAGGGTATTAGAAGAGAGGGATTCTGGATGGGGGCAAGCAGGAGATGGACGGCAGTGGGGTAGCCCTGTGGACAGAAGGGGCAGATGGGGAGAGGGCCCTGGGGAAGGATTTCAGAAGAACACAGACCCCTTCTAAAGAGAACAAAGCAGGGGCCTCCATGTGTCTGTGTGTCTGAGTGTCTACTGGCTCACCCTGGCCCCCCAGCCACATTTACCCTGCTCAGCCCTGCCCTACCTCGGTGATCCCAGGGGCTGAGTGTCCATGGCTTCCAGGACTTCCTCCCACCAGCTACAGCACGCCTCTCAGCTCCACTCAATTCTGGGACCTCAGAATCATCCCCTCCTTTCCCTTCCCTGCCCCCGCCCCTCTGGGCCCTGAAGCTTAGCTGCCCCTAGCCAGGCCCCCTCCCCGCTCCTTCCTCCTCCCTCCTTCCCTCCCACCCTCCTCACGCAGAGGCCCTGGGAAGGAAAGAGGCCTTCCCCCAGTCTGGAAAGGAAGCCACAGGCACAGCCAGGGCCAGCAAGAGGGAAAGGAGGGCTGCTTATGTCCCTAACAGTGACAGATTCCCTGTGTTTTCACACAACCAAACATAGCCACATTCAGGCATGGACTCACTAGGCACAGTCAACAAAAAGACACTCCCCTTGAACAAATGTGGATACAATCAAATGAAAATCAGACACACACTCCTGTGCCTACTCTTTTCACTTTTCACTCCCCAGCAAATATTTCCTTAGGGCACAGCCGACTGTATTTTGGGGGAAGGGAGGCCCCAGATAGGGGAGATTAAGAAAAGCTGAAGAGTACAGTTTCCCCTCCCCTGAATGTTCCAGCCATTTCTTACCTCCCCTTCCACTCTTTGGGCCCCAGCACCAGGAAATGCCTTTGGTCCCTTGGTGCCAGATACACAAGACCCACACTCACCCTTAGATACACACTCTCAGATACAGCCACTCATAGTCATACAGATACACTCAGATATCCTCACTCAGACTCAGATACATACTCACACAGACACACACATCATATTCTTCCTCTCATACTCACACCTACACACTCAGCATTCCACCCCTGGGACGGGGCTGTAGCACTCCCGAAAAGCAACCCCTCATTTTAGTTTAGGCCTCCTTTTCCAGGGAGTTCTTAGCATGGCAGATCCCATATCTCATCACTGTTACAGGCCTTTGTAGCCAGAGACAAAGGTGAACAGGGAAGTCAGGCACAGGGGTACAGAGAGAGACAGAGATGCAGAGAACCTGAGAGGCAGAATTGAAAAGCAGGTATGAAGAGACACCTAGGGAGACTAAACCATGAAGAGACATAGAGAGTAATAATTCTAGGAAGACAGTAGTAGGGAGAGAAAAAGAAATATAAGGAAACTGAGTCATACAGGGAAATAGAAAATAAGGAGCAGTAGACCAGTGACAGGAATTCTTGGGTACAGTACCACCGGCTATTGAAGTGGGTCCCTCAGATGTGAATACAGCTCCACACCTATAAGTCTAACAGTTAGGATACAGGGCACACAGATAATACAAGTCTCACTCTTGCTCTACTACTCCTGAAATCACACATTGGCACATACAAACCCAGCTACCCACTCTCACACTGGCCAGAAACAGTCTGAGACATTCCCAAAACACATTCCTCGATGTGGTCACAGGCCTTCTCACGCACAAACGACCCAGTCTCTCACCAAAAAATGCACATTGACAGATACACACATAAGCCCACACTTGCACAGCCACATATACACTGACACACTCAGTCACATTAACTGACAGTTGCACGAAGTGACACTCAGTTGCAAAGACACACACATCGTCACACACGGCCTCACTGCCACACACTGACAATCCGTCAGTCACTCTGAGCCCTTCAGATTATAAACCATCCTGCCGCACCCTCTCCTGGCGCTGTTCCCTTGTGCACACCCAGGGCCCCACCAGGCCTCACCTTCCGCGGCCTCCGCCGCAGCGGCCTCCGCCGCCGGCGCCCTCTGCCCCGGCCTCTACTCCCTCCCGCCCTGGGGCCCCGCAGTGGGGGCGGCTCCACCCAGGCACCAATGGAAGGAGAGGGGTGAAATAGGGAGGGTCTGGGCCCATTGGAGCCTCCAACTGCCAATCACCTCCACCCCCACCTCTGCCGGACACTTCCTGTCCCGTCGGAGACTGAGGAGGCTGCGGAGGTGATAGGCGCTAGGGCTGGATTCCCGAGTCTTTGCGTGAAGGACAGGAATCTTTCAGGCCCCTCCCAGTACCTGCTGTCCACAAACAAAGCCTCAAGTTCAGTGGCTCAGGAGCCACTGAGCAGGTGCCTGGAGAAGCTGAAGGTGCCTGTTTCCAGATAAGATACGGAAGAAGGACTGGTGTAGGGCAGTGGTTCTCAAACTTGGCTGGACGTTGTGGTTTTACAACCGCCAAGCCACACTTCAAACCAATAAAATCAGGATCTCTGGAGGCTGGACCTAGGCATCAGTATTCTTTAAAACTACCCAGATGATTTCAAAATGCATCCCAAAAGTGTAGGGTCAGCGTGTATGTGTGTGCCTTAAGAAACCAGCCACCCATCGAGGGTTTTCATCCACTCCCCAGTTACTGCGGGCTTAAAGGAGATGTGTACCATGTTCGTCTGAGCTCCTTCCAGACCATGGCAACACTCCAAGTATCGGACCCTTCCTCTCCAGGGTCTCAGAGTAAAAAGAACCCTGGACTAGAAGGCAGACAGCCAAGGTTCTCCTGTCATCACTGTCTGGCCTTGGCATGATTTCCCCTCCCAGAGACTCAGTTCCCTTGAGAGAAGAATGGAGACAAAAAGCATTCTGGCCATCCTTGCATTGTTCACAAGCCCTGTCCTCACCTAAAAGTTTGGAAGACGCTATATGGCATCAGGTCTCTTGGGATGCATAGCCTGTTGTTCCCACATGGTTACATAGTCTTGCCAGGGAAATAGGTCCAGAGGGGAGGGGGTAAACCCTTGGTCACTCCAAGAACCATCCCCTCCTTCGAGACCCTGGGACTCCTAACTCTGGTAGCCCCTTCCCTGCCAGAGCTGTTTTTGGCCCTGTACAATGATTGGGCACAAGGGCAAAAGATGCATGCTGCACGTGGAAGTCTGGAGAAGGCAAGGACATAAAGCCACGCACATGTTCCCTACCCGCCCCTTCAGCCCCTGTGGGCTGGAGCAGAGCCAAGCTGCAGTCACTCACAAAGCCAGGATTCTGGCCAGCAGCCCAGGGTCTGGCCACTGACCACTAGGGCCAGGATTCTGCTCACCAGCTCTCCACCAAACCTTCAGGCCCAAGCTTGGTGAGCTGACATCCTAGGGCAAAGGGGGTTCTGGTCTTCCCAAAGCCTTAGCCACAGGATTTTTAATCAGTTTCTTAAACTGGGACGCCTTTGTTACTCCAGGAGTAAGAGAATCTATAGGCCAAACATAACACTGACTATTAATTTTGTTCAGAGATTTAGGGAGAAATTTTTGTATCCTTAAGTTTTTGCATATCTATAGGCAAAGAAAAGTTGTGGCTGGAGCTATGCCTTTAGCCTTTAACCCCAGGCCCCCAAGAAAGAGTGAGAGTTCATGTTTCTCTGACGTTAGAATATGTGATTAAAGTTTGAGAAGTACAGTTTTATTGATCCCACATCTGCCCAAACCCTAGGCCCTGGTTCTCTCAGGCAGAAAGCTCTGGGGTCAGCATGGTCAGGCGATGGCTGCTGTCTCCCTGTCCTTCTGCCTCAGGTAGTAATGAACCTCAGGAAGTGCCCTTAGTTTCTCCGCAGCCTAGCAGGGGAAGAAGGAGAGTAAGAGTGGCCCAGAATGGCAGTATAGAGTTCTGAGTGAGGGCTCGTGGGACCAGAAGGCTGGTGATAAGGACTGCTGGAATAACCAAAGGATGAAGGAAGTGAGCAGCTCCTAAGTCTCTAGGAATGCTCAGGTTATGGGGGTTTTCAGGGTCATGATTGTTGGGATCCCTTGAGGAAATAGGAGTGAAAAGGGGACCCAGGGCACTCCAAGTCCTGACCTGCTCAGGAGTAAGGTCCCTCTGAGCCTGGGCAAGCATTTCGTAGCCAACCATGAATTTCCGGACAGTGGCAGAGCGCAGGAGCGGAGGGTAGTAATGAGCATGCAGCTGCCAGTGGTCCCAGTTGGCTCCAGCCTCTGATCCTGTGGGAGCCCCTGACAGAAAGAAGGCAGAGATGGCTGGCGAGAGCCCTTCCTTAGTTCTGCAGCCTAACCCCTACCCCCAAACCAAGCTAGGTATCTCAGAACTACATTTCCCAGCATTCTGTGCCAGAGAGGAGACCAGGCATTGGAAAGCACACTGAGAGACATATTTTCACCAAGTTCGCTGCTCCACCCTCAGTACCAGCAGCCCTGCTCTGGACACTTCCCTCAGCATGAGTTTCAAGGCCTGCTGGGGTTTGCCGTCCACTGAGCTGGGCCACAGGAGCCTAGAAAAGATGTTGGGGCTAAATATGGGTGCTCAAAAAGCCTCACCGTGCCAGCCCATGG